ATTATAGGGGGATCAAATAGTAATTAAACCTCCCCGACCAAGTGGCTCTCATGTCCACATGCTTTCAATGTAATTGACATTTACCATGCTTGTTTTCAATTCATTTCCTCGCTCACGTTTTATAAAAATATTTTTCTCTCAAAACATGACTTGAGGCTAAAAACTACATTGATATTATCTGCTTGCACGTTTGATTTTCACTCCACTGCTAAAAGAGTGCGATTGTGACACTAGGTAGCTACTATGTCAACCTGTGTGGTCCCACACTCCCTCTCTTAGGATGAATTTACATCGCAAAAGCCCTTTTCAGGAAACTACTGACCATTTTTACAAGGTGATATCACCTAGTCGCCTCAACACACTACCCTATTTGACCTATGCACAAGCTCGATGATATCTCTCCTTATAAACCTACCACTTGGAAGGGGCGTTATTGGATCCAACTTAGGTTACTGGTAACACTGACGAAGTACTAAAGAAGATAGAGAGCAGAGATTCTGGTGATACCGTTCACATTGCTAGTAGGCCTGATGAGCTACCTTAATCATGCCTAGGTGTCGTGGAGGTTAACTAGGTTCTTAAGGTGTCTCGAAACTCGAACTCTCATCCCAATAGTAGTTGAACTAGTTCTTTAGGGTTCACTTGGTCTATAAGCACTAAGGTCTAGACTCCTGATCACCTTTCATGCTCCTAAGTGCTCGATGTCTAAAGGCATTTTGACTTAGGTCAACATAGAATAATCCTAGCTTAACTCAGTACAAGCATGCATTCTCAAACGGGAAGATCCACCATCAATCTGTGTAACATATAAATCATACTCAAATATTCATACCTACTCAATAGGGAGATAACATCCATTAATTATCTAAAGCACAAATCATAACATCCCATCCTACATGCATTCTTTCTAGAAAGCTTATACTAAAGGCATTTTAGTCATTTTTCATAACATACATTACATACTCAATTAAACTCCTCACCTAATATCCTAATTATGTATAATCTAACCACCTATGGTAGGTTATGTCAGCACCTGGCGTGTTCTAGTGATCCATACAAGTATTGCTGAAGGCAAGTCCGAATGGCTACTTTATTGGGCATGTGTGCCTTTTTCGAGCTCATTTTTTGCTTGTTAGGTGCTTTGAATTTCTAGAAATTTCTCTAGTTAAACCTAACTCAAGTTACATTAAGCTTAGTATTGAATTGAAATGAAAACAATCAAATGAAGGTCAAATCGGGCAAAAACTCACGTCCTTATGCACCCTCTTACGCCTCATGCACGAGCAAAGAGGCTAACATGCTCTAGGGTTCTCGTGTACTTGCACTTCCATTCGTCCAAGTTTTGAACCTCAGCGTTTGGAGAATGCAACAATTTTCCTTAGTTTGACATGTGGCCCATTTCGTGTGTAGCATACTCATCTCGATTAACTTCGTTGCGACATTTGTTCTCTCATGTGCGCCCAATCCCTCTTTCAAAACCTATAAACTTACTATTCTTACACCTCGATCAGAACTCTAACTTCTGGTGAATTGCTCTTATGATCTCCTTCACGAAACTTGTTCAAAATAACCTTCTAACACATCTTGAATAATTTTCATAACCTAAAACTCAAGAAAATCTACGAATTTAAAGGAAAACGAAAAATAAAAATTTAGACCCTCAATACAATCTTCCAAGTTGAAATTTAAAAGAAAAAGTTGGAAAATTCGTGCTAATTGAGCTCGAGCGTTACATTACAGTTGTAGACAACCATTGAAAATGCTTGCAACACCATGAAAAAATGCTTGCCAAAGTATGTATGTAAAAATCATAGAAAATCAGGCAAAGAAGAAGAGATCCACTGGTTACGTCGGGTTAAGGTCAACCTAACAAACTAGACGCACGAACTCCATGCCATCTCATAATCCAATTCCAAGTCAAACCCAACCGCTGGTCGTTCAACCCATATCCACACAAAAATCCAACAACAAGGCTTAACAGATGAACCCACGAAGCCTCGCGACCGAAGCATGTTAGCGCAAACGTCCACCTTTGAGTATATGGATATGATGTTATGACCTTGTTTATACCTTACAAGAAACCATGATGTAGAATGAATTGTTAGAATCAAGGAATTATTTATGTTAAGCATGAAAGTAATAAGTGCATTATCTCGTTGAACCATGATTTTATAGGCGAGACCTCATGCATGTTATATGCTCATATGATCACAGAATACCTCTTTAAGTTATGTAAATTTCAACGCATATACTCACGTTATTGTATAGGCTTTTTTGTCTTCCTCTCATTTTCAACGGCATGAGCGTACACCTGTCTATAGTTAGGCCAATGGGTACACTAACAAGTCTGCCTAGTGGGCTCATGTGCATATGCGTGGACTGTGTGTAGAGAAGTAGTATGCATCCAACCTTATCTAGAAAAGAAAGTAGAGCTCAAAGAAAAGTCGCAAATTTATGTCTCAATAGTCATTATACATGTTGTATGTGAGTGAATTTTTCGACCTCAATGGTGGAGTCACGTACCGAGTATTTTTAAATACTCATCCTTTCATTAACATGTTTTGAAATAAAAGCAAGAGTCTGATGCACGGTGAACGAAGATCTTTAGGAAGTTCATTCGCATTTAGTCATATTTTTATTGATAGAATAGTATATTAGTATTCCAATCTTAAATTCCACGTTAAAGAGTCATTGAATACTTATTTACGACATGCCTTTTATTATGCTTATTTAGGTTCACTGAATTTAGTATACGATTGAAATGTTTTCTTAGTCTCTAAGATTCTAAGCAAATTTTTGTTTGAATTAGCATGAAACATCTGACATACATGTAGCACCCGTTTTATATTTAAGAAGAAAAGTAGAATCGTTACAATAAATCATTAACTCTGGCTCACTTTTTACCTGATTCATCGAGTTTCAAAATCATAACATATTCAACTCATCAAAATTCATTTCTCAACTCTACTGACCTCTAAAAAAAAACTAATTAACATTTAAACTTTAAGACTGAAATAGACTAGTGAGACGTATTTAGAACTTAGAGAACTCGAGTTTCCAATTCGAGCTTAAACTCACGCCATTAGCCTGCCCAACTAATAACCCTTTATCAGTTCAACGAACATATAACTATGAATCGAGCATATTTCAGTAGATAAAACACCAATTTACCATCTTAAAATGTGATCATTCGATCTCCCCACCGTAATTTTATACTAAAAAAATAATTAAAAAAATCTATTAAAAACAAAATCGAAAGTTTAGATATTCAAAAGTTCACACTAGGAAAAACCTAAATCTCAGAAAATAAAATACGTGATGTCAATTAGCATCCAAATCTTATGGGATATCCCAATTAGTTGCAATTTATTTAATTTCCTCTATTTTTAATTCTCAATTATTAAAAAAATAAAATAAATAAAAAATATATTTATTTAAACGGAAATTTGTGTGGTGTGCTTGGAAAATAAAGAAAAAACGTGAGGTAGAGAAATTCATAGTCAACAAGTACATACACAATAATAATATTAATTTTTTATAATTATTATATTCCTCTACACCTCACTTGCCATTATAAGTTAAAATATTATTTTTTTTATTTTTTTTATTTTTTAAATTGAGATTATATATTGTTTGTAAAATAAATTTTTGGTGAAAATTAAAAAAAAAAAAAAAAAAAAAA